ATACGACAGATTTTTGTTCTATATTGATGTAGTTTGGTGTGAACTACGCTGACACCTGTAGCAAAATTATAATTTTTTTTTTCTTTTATTATGTTTGCTATTTACAATCAATTCTTATACAGAATTATGAGTAACTTAAGTTAGCGTGGCACAATGACGTGGTGCAACTATCGTGATAGGTGCTTACAATGTATTCATTTATGAATGTTTACATTAGCATGTGAACGCAGTTAGTATTATGAGGCACCTTTATTTAAATCTATCGGGTAGGTCGTGAGGGTAGAATCTTTTTAGTCTACGAGTTAAGTCTAGATTATCTAATAATTGGATAGCTAAGGGATTTGAATGATTTGTTAAACCCATATTATAACGTTCACTGAAATTATGAATTTCTTCTTTCATTGTTGGCAAATTCAGATCATGATGTATTCTTTCATTAGTAATATACCAGGGGGCGTTACAGATTAATCGTAGGGTCTTAGAATGAAATCGTTGTAGAATTTCTATGTTAGATCCGTTGGCAGTGCCCCATGACGTAGGTCCATATGGGTTTTAGAATGGTCTTGTATAAGATAAATTTACTTTCCAAACTTAATTTCGATCTTCTACCGATGAGCCAGTAAAATTTCTTAAATTTTCCTTCAGGGCGATGGATTTAGTTTTGATATGTTGCTTCCATGTTAGTCTTCTGTCAAGCACCATACCCAACTATTTGGCTGAATCTTTTATTGGTATTCCAGAGCCATTTATAACAACCGTGGGACATGTGGATTTACGTAGAGTAAAGGTAACATGAGCAGATTTATTGTCATTTACGATGATATGCCATTTGTGGAACCATTTCTCAAGTTGGTTTTGGTGATCCTGGAGAATCCTTGACGCATTTTGAGGATCTTGATTAGCTGCTAACAGCGCCGTATCATCTGCGAAGGTAGCTGTGATTACATTCGGCGTGATAGGTAGGTCGGCCGTGTAAATAGAATATAGGAGCGGTCCCAGGACACTGCCCTGGGGAACACCAGAAGAGATAGGAAAAGTTGAAGTGGTTTGATTTAGTAGTCTAACTTTGAATTTTCTATTGGTTAAGTATGAATGTATGATTACATAGTAAGAATGGGGTAGAATTTTCTTAAGCTTATATAGCAAACCCTTATGCCACACTTTGTCGAATGCCTGTTTAATATCTAGAAATACTGCAGAGTAGTATTTTTTTTGTTCGAGGGCCTGGGCTATATTGCGAGTTATGCGATGGATTTGCTCGACTGTAGAGTGGTGTTTACGGAACCCGAATTGATGACTAGGGTTTACTGAGTCTGCTAATATGGTCAGCAGCCGCTTGCTTAACATTTTTTCAAATAGTTTAGATAAGTTTGATAGTAAGCTGATCGGACGATACGAAGTTACTTCATGTAACGGTTTCCCTGGTTTGTGTATAAGCGTAATCGTTGATAACTTCCATGACGTCGGATAGTGCCCAGTTCGGAGTATGGCGTTAAATATAGAAGTTATTAGCGCTATTCCTTTCTTCGGTAGTTCCTTAATTATTTTATCATTTATTAGATCATGACCAGGCGCCTTTTTGGGGTTTGAATAATTAGCTATAGTTGCTCTGACTTCTGATGATGAAAAAGGTTCAATTTAAGGCGACATTTCAAATGGAGATTGTAAGTATTCCAATATTTCTAATTCATCAGTAGCAGATTTGGGAGGCGGTGGTTTAAATACTTCAGCTAGGTGTTCAGCGAATAGATTAGCTTTATCTATCGGACTCCTTGCCCAGCCTCCTCGTGGGTGGCGAATGGGGGGTATTACTTGCTGGGGACGTGAGAGTCGTTTCGCTGCTTTCCAAAGAGAGTAATTAAGAGTCTGCCGTGTGAGATAGGTTTACTAGGAATTTTTGGAAACAATCATTTTTGAAGTCCCGAAGGATTTTTGATAGGTTCCTAGTAGCTCTGTTTAGATTCCGTTTATCATTCGGTAGTCTATTGTTTTGCCAAATTTTTCGAAGTTTTCGTTTCTCAGCAATTTTTTTCTTTATGAACTCAGGGTAGTCACAACGAGTCGAGTATTTCAGATTGGGAGTGGAGGTCCTGACAGAGTTTATTATATTGCGTGTGAGATAATCCACAGCTGTATCTATATCATCGGTTTTTCTTAGAGGTACTGCTGCTGTTGTGGAGTTATTGAATGTTTCCCGAAAGTAGGACCAGTTTGTGAGTTTGTTGTAGATGGTGGTGGGGGGCACGTTTTCTATAATTGTTGAATTAACTGTTGCGATGACAGGAGAGTGGTCCGAAGACAAGTCCAGAGAAGAACAAATTTGAGTGTACCTTGGAGACACATTTTTCATTATATAGAAATCGAGTAAGTCAGGCACTTTGTTTGTGTCCGATGGCCAGTATGTAGGCTCACCTGTACTGAAGTGAGTTAATCGTTTAGCCTCGATACTTTTTAGGAGTGTTCTTCCTCTAGGTGTGATGAGTCTGCTGCCCCATTGGGTATGTTTGGCATTTAGATCGCCTCCAGCTATAAATCTGTAGCCCAGTGTTTCGAAGAAGTAGTCAAAATCTTGTTTAGGGATATTGTGTCTGGGCGGACAATAAATCGCGGATAAAGTGAGTGGACTGTGCCAGTCTTGGATCTTAATACTTATAGCTTGGAGGTAATCTTGTTTGAATGGGGGAAGTTCATAATGTTTCAAGCTTGATTTTACAATGATTGCAGTGCCACCATGCGCTCTGCCGCTAGGGTGTAACGTATAATATACTTTATAACCATGGATTTTGAAGTATGTTTTATCGGTAAAATGCGTTTCAGATATTATCATGACCTGAATATTATGATTTTTAAGAAGAATTCTAGTTCATTTTTATGCTGAACTAAGCCGTTGGTGTTCCAGAGAGCAATACGTAGGGTCGTCATTGATTTGGATGAAGTGTTAGTTTATTTACAATTATTGTCAATAGTGATAATAAATTATTTATTTGTTCAGTTTGCTTTTCAATAAGTTTCTCTAATCTACAGAAATTTTCAGTAATGTAAGAGTTATTTTCGTAGTTTCCTGTGCATAGGAAGTACGAGGATGGATGTGACGTTGGATATTAGCCATTACATTAGTTTCAGGATTCGTATATGTATTCAAATTTTCTTTGGGTCTAAGTCTTGGAAACACTTTCCTATGTAACTCTTTGTAGGCTAGACATCCTTTGTAGTTCGCGGGGTGGTTGCCATCGCAAAGAACGCATTTTGGAGGGATCTCAAGCGATTTTGTACATTCGACTGTTGAATGTGTACTGGCACATTTTACACAACGAAATTGGCGGTTATAGTATTTCTGAGTGTGTCCATGTCTTTGGCACCTTTTTCACTGAACTATTTCCTTTTTTTTATGTGGTGGTTCTATTTTAAATACAATGTTTTTAATTCGATCGATACTATAGACGGATTTATTATTATGTTTTTGTTTGAGATCAATGTAAAATAACGAGAGAGGGTTATGCGTGATTCTATGTTTAATGTTACTGATATTGATTACCTCGTGCCCGAGTTTTAGAAATTCTTCCTTTAGTTCGTTTAGGTCAGTTGAGTGATGAACATTACGCAATACGATGCGAAACGATCTTTCCTGTTTTAGTTGATAAGTGTGGAATTTAGCGTTCGATGATTTCAGTGATTTCGTTATATTTCTATAGGCATCGGAATCTACAGGCAGAATTTTAACTTGGTCGTTATTTATTTTTAGTTTGAAATCTTCTTTTTTAACGATCTTTTCTATAAATCCTAACAGCGTTTGAATGTCAATGACATCGTCAAGGTATATTGGCGGTGGTTGAGGTTCTTTATGTGGTAGATGATTTTCGAATTCATCGTTATCGGTGCACGAATTTAAGATTGAGAATCTATTTGATGTTGTTACAGAACTCCTCGAAGGGTCCAATATGGTTTTATTGTTTCCATTTGTGGTCTCGATCCTTCTTCTTTTTTTGTTTTGGTCAATTGCTTCATCAGAGGTATCCTTTTGCAAGGATTTGAGCAAGATTTAACGCCATTTCGTGCTAGATATAACCGATTTAGAATCGGTACCTAATCGAAAGGCTGTTGTTTGTCCTTATCTAGTGTATGATATTCGTTGGGCCAGCTATTGAATTTGTGATTGCCTTTCCTTGTCGGCTATTCTGTAAACATACTTAATATAGTTACGCACAACGTATAAACACACTGAGCTCGATTTAGCACGTACGAACGCTTTGACAGCTAGCACGCGACTGTAAAATTATAAATGTGCTAATTCTTTAAGTTAAATATAACCTAATATAATTACTTAAATTTTGCATCATTATTTGAATGAAAAAGCTATTTAGAACTTACATGCGAAGGCCATTCTAGTTCAGACCGAGCACATTGGTGTGATAAGGAAGTACACCAAATTTCAGAGTGATCGGTCCATTCATTCTGAAGATATCATGCAACACGTGTCAAAAATAATAATTTTGAGAAAAAGAGGTTTAAAGTTAAAATTTCAATTCAGTGCTGACTTTGTTATTATACATACCTTATTCTGCTTCAAAACTCTCCAGCAGCATACAAGGCACCTTCTTCCATAGCTACATCTTTTTGTGCTTTACTTTTGGACCATCTGGCAAATCGTCTTGCCTCCAGTCTGGCTGCCGATTTACCCTTCTCATTATATCGTACCCTCATTTCATCTTGGCACTGGAAGATTTTTTCGGTATTTAAACCAGGTTCAATGTCGAATCTTCGCATGATGTCAAGTAGAATCCTCGTTTCTTCATTAAAACATGATGTAGCTATGTACTCCATAAAAAACTACAAGAAAGTAGAAAAAGATGTGAAATCGAAATGAAACTCCTTTCCAGCAAAGTGCAAAGGCGACACTACGTAACACGATGTAAAATTTAGTGCTTTTCAACTATGCGCAGCTCAACAGTGCTGACGTTAAGACCCTAATGACAACTCATGCAAAGTGATTGCTCCGCACTATGGCGGTAAAATAAAGATCCACAAACGGAGACTGTTTAATTTGTCTAGATCACTGCCGCCTGGAAGTCAAATGCTTGGCGTGGCCAGGCTTCTATACATATACTCAAAGCCTTAGCTCCTATTGACTTGTAAGTGTTTACAAAAAATCGACTGGAAATGTATAAGACGATATCGTTGTTGTATGTGGACTGATTTTATTGATTATGGTTTTATTCGATAGCTTATATGCGATTTATATCAGCAAAATACCTTTAAATTTAAAAAATATTGCAGGTGTGATGAGATATTAATGAAAGAAGTTTCAGGTTAGGTTGGAATCGCAATTTTACAAGTAAGAGATACTCTAGATGTGCTACACATGAGGACTTCAATTCCACTAAATGACTTCTTCAGTGGCAACTTCCAAATCACATTATTTACACTTCCATTTTAATTTTGTGTAAATCCTTCTAAGCACCTATGAAGCAGATTTTCATTGCTCAGAACTTCATAAATTGGCTTTATCACGTCCATCACAACATCTGGTATGGGATTTTTATGGTAAAAATTTTGTAAATTATCGTAAGTCTTTGCTCTTTGCCATCCGTACCATGAATTTTTGCCTTCTGGGCAATAAAAATGCTGTGGTTTCAAATCTGTTGACAACTTATGATAACATGTTGCGCAAATAGCATCTCTCATGTCTTTGATTGCACTGGGTTGAACACGAATGGCATTTCCATAAAATACTATGAGCTCATCAATTAATTTGCCCGTAAGCCTTCCTGCGTAACTAAGCATTTTACCATCACTCAGTTTCTTTCCAGCAAATTCCTTCTTTTTGTTGCGCAGTCGAATCCCTATTCTCTTCTGGATATGACGCATTCCTTTTTCTCTACAGGGAACTTTTCACCGTATGGCCTTGCATTTTGTATCGCAGTAAATGTCTCGCTGTCAACGCCCCCTATGTGTTTCAAATATTTGACACTATTGCCTTTCTTCAGATCGGTGAAACATTTCCAAAATACCATCAACTTCCATCTTTCCAGAGCTGCCATGGCGGTTCACTCGGCATTTGATGATGTGATAATCATTCCATTCTTTATAAGCAGCAGTGTCCATTCTTGTTTTCCAGCTGACGCATTCTTGGCAATATACATTTTTTGTGTTCACATCTAAAACTAACCCACTGTAATTTCCATTGAGGATTCTGATACCCTGTAAGGATGTAAATCCTCCATGTACCATCTCCAGAAACGTACAATTCTTTTGGAATTACAACGAAATTGCTTTGGTAGCTTTACAAAGATTTTTCACATGGATATCATAACTTGTTTTTGATAGTCGGTGGAAGGTTCGTAATTGCACAAAAAGTGTTCAACTCAATTACACCATGCTCTATCATGCGCGTAGCTAATACACTTCTTTTGTTAATTTCATAATTATTCTTTTTCCAATAAGTCTAGAATTTGGAATCGCGCGAATCTTTTATTAACTTTGACACTCAACTGTCAGTTTAAACCCTAGTCTCTGAGTAGCTGTTTTTGGAAACGTCAGAGTTCCACCGCAGTTCTTACACGATACAATTTTATGTAATTTATTAAAAACAATTTCAAAATCGATAAAACAAGTTTTCCCTGTTTTATTTTTCACAATATCAGAGGTCTGTTCTTTGCTTAGGCTTGGATGGCTGATAAAATAATATGTTCGATTCACTTTTCCTAGAGAATCGATTTTTAAAAAAATTACGTTTTCTTTTTCGCCCAGTAAATCGTTTTTTATCCGGGATTCCACGGTGTCGGTTTCTTGTATTGTCACGTCCTGGATTCCAGATTTGAAAAATCTGTCACCCAGTTCGCTCAAATACTGCCTGCTTTTATCCCCCGCCTCTCTTAAACGACTCGCGTCTGGACGGGATCCTGATCTTTTGATTTACTGTACTCTTGCGATTACTGTTTATGAAAATTTTAAGTTTTTTACTTACTACTTGATGGATTCTATTACCTTTCGAATGTATGTTTCCCACAGCGGAGCGTTCGGTGGTATTTCCTACACGTGCTCGAACGTCGAATGGACTCGGGGAAATGATTGGTATTGTTACTTATTAATTTTATCACTATTTATTATTAAGACCTGTGCATGGTTGTAAGTAGTAAATGGGCCTGACGGAGCCGACATACAGAATTGAGCGAGGGGCTGCACCCGTACGTGGTCAGCCCACATTAAATTGGAGTCCGGTCTGGTCTGACCACGTACGCGTGCAGGCCCTCGCTCCGCTTCTGAATGCCGGCTCACTTACTACTTTTTCAAATCTGCTCCGATTTGAAAACGAAAGCGTGGTTAAAAAAATCTAATTTTTGGGGGATCTGTTAATAAAGCATTCGCGCGTCCGAATCCACGAACGGCGTTGACGTGGGGTTACTCGTTCACCCAGCAGATGGGCCTCAAGTTGGAAGCGAGTTTTTAAAAAAAATCGACATTTTCGTATTTTATTACGCGGGAAAAAGACATCAAAACTGTGTCATTCCGATGCCCTGTACTGTTGGACATGTAATCCACGCAACGTGACAACGTTCCAACCCTTACACTTGGGGGTGGACCACCCCTACCTCTGCCCCCCTCCCTTCAGCTTCGGGGATAGTTTTCGAAACGGGACCTTTTCGGCATTCATCCTTAACATATCGAGAACAAATATGGTGAATTTCATTGCCCTCCGATGTGTGGAAGTGCTCCCTTACGAAGGAGGTTGAAAATTTGCGAGCTGCTCCACCCCCCCGAAGGGTGCCTATGGGGTGCTCGGTATGCCTGATAGCATTTTCTGGATCAGGGAAGTTCAGAGAATGCATTGAGCCCAAAATCGAAACCGTCGTCCAAAAATTGTGGATTTTAGTGGGGTGGGAGATTTTGGGGGGTGGGTTTGTCCGAGAGAGATTTCAAGGGGTGCATTTTGTAGAGGGCATCAAGGAGAGTCGCCCCAAAGGTTTTTTTAATTTTTTTAACCCTTTCCATTACTCCTGGCACCTTCAAAAGTGACGTTTTTCGACGCCCCCCCCCCCCCACTTAAGGAGGTGAATTAACCCCTTTGCGTCAATCCTCGCCAATGCAACTTTACACACGCTTACGGGACACTTCAAAAGTACTCCTCACGCAGTTTCATTTCAATCGGTTGAAAACTCCCATAGTTACGACGCACAATGCGGACAAATAGCAAAATTGTGGACAAAAATCAAAATTTCATTACTAATATAAATATATTGCTATTTATTCACAAAAAAAATTAAAATTAATCATAAACATTAATAAAATCACAACAAAATTAACAAAAAATTAACAAACCCCGATTTTGATGAAACTTTGTATACTTGTTTGTGGGACCTTCTTATGAATTACACCATCCTCAGTACGTGTGAATTTTGCGTTTTGAGGGAGAAATTAACCCTTTTATCCGAATCGCTCCTTTTACTTTTGCTCGGAAACGATTAGAGATTTCAAAAAATGTTCAAGCAAACATTACACTGTTTTTAGAGGCCTATAAACCAATACCAACAAAATTTAAAAAAAAAAACATTTTTTTAAATCCTCCCCCTTTCCTCGAAATTTGTGAAAATTTTGATTTATTTCTGGATCAGTAAAAGCGTTTTTTTATTCTGAATCCAACGGTATATATGAGTTTATGATTATCATTCAGGAAAATGTTGTAATATTGTAAAATTGTCGCTTTAGTAGACTATATTTCGAATTCTTTAGGAATTTTTGTCTCATAAATAATAGAAGTTGCACCCATATGTTATTTAATATACTATGCTTCATTTTGGTTGAGGATGTGAAAAATAATTTTTATAGAAATCCATAAATCAATTCAATTAGAATTTTTAACTTCCAATTGCGACCCTACATCAACAGTACGGTCCCTTATTAAAAATTATATAAAACCGAACGTTGCAAGTATTTGGAAGAAAACTTATAAGTTTCTTAAAATATAACAAATAATCTATCCAAATATGTGAGAACTCAGGATATTTTTTGCCGTTTTGTCTGTATGTTTGTTCGAAGATAAAGATTGTATTATGGATACAAATGATTGATACATGATTATTTATAACAATTTCCACGCTGACACATATTTTATAGGATAGAAATCTGCCTCACATTGTGATATATACTAATATTGAATTTTGTCCACTTATTCCGCACTGTGCGACGGTTTGAAAAAGTGTCCCACTAATTGTTTGAAGCAGTGTAGTTACCGGTGGAATCGTAGCTTGACAACACTGCAGCCACGATTCGGCTTCTCAGTTATTCTCTCGAGTTAATTGGTATCAACTAAATTTTCTGCTTTGAAATTCCAAACAAAAAAAAATGTACAGGATAAGATCAAGCGTTTATATTTGTTTGGAGTTTTGAAATAGAAAATTTAGTTGATACCAATTAACTCGAGAAGCCGAATCGTGGCTGCAGTACAACAAATATCTCGAGAGCAGTGTCAAGCTGCAACTCCAGCGATAACTAGTAGATGGAATGCATGCATTGTAACAAGAGGTTATCATTATGAACAATGTCTGCATCAAATAAGTGATAACAAAATAAGTAAGTGTAAATAAATGAGAGGAAAGACGAAAACTTCTTGATTCTTTTTTACGATTTTCTCCAAAACGGAGCAAAACCGAGCAAATTTCTAAAGGACTTATTTCTTAGCTTATCGATACCCTACATGCTCCCAAAGTTTTGACACTTAAATTAGGGACACCCCGTATAATTCAATTTAGATATAAAAGAATGATGTACCTTTTACTATTTGAAGTTGAATTGAAGACATTTTTAATGCCAAATATTTTTTTATTATACTTTAAAATATTAAGAATTTAATTCTAAAATTAAGAAAAAACGAAAAATCTAGAAACTGGACATTAAAAACAAGCTTATAACTATACATTTGTTCATTTAAATGTCGTAATTACAAAGGTATTGTATTAATTAAAATTTTACTTTACGCTATACTGTTCGAGTTTCTTTTTATTAAATTAAAACATTTTATTTTTATTAAACAAATTCTCAATTCAAATCTAGATTCGGTACATAAAATTAATGAAGTACACCTAGTTTTACTATCTACTTCGGATAAATCTTACTTCGAAATTTTGATATAACGCATCAATATTTCAAAATTCAACTGTATAATTCTATAAGGAATGCACAGACAAATTTTGTTTGTCACGTAGTGTAATTTGATTATTTCTTCACTGTTGTTCATACATACATTATTTCAGTACTTGGGCAGCACGGAAGTGGATCAGCCAAAGGGAATCGAAGTGGTCAAAGAAGCGATCTGCAAGTTAAAATTTAATCAACAACTGAGGAAGAGCGAGGGGACGAAAACTCCAAAAGTAGAGCTGACGATAAGTATAGATGGGGTTGCCATTCAAGAACCGAAAACGAAGACAGCACCAAAGGTATTAGAAGATTACTATTATATGTACTATAATCTTGAGATGTAACACTAGATCTACCTGGTTTTTAACCGACTTCGAAAAGGAGGAGGTTACTCAATTCGACATGTATATACATATATATATATATATTTTTTATGTATATTACTCGATTACGCCCAGACGGCTTGACCAATCGGGATGAAACCTATTGCATCTTGTAGAAAATGTCTCCGGGGTGGTCCCGTTACCAAACAACTTTGGGATTTCTCATTTTTTACCCGTTTTTTTTTTGCAAAAAAAAAACGAAAAATTTTGTATTGCTTCTTATTCCGAAACGAATTGACCAATTGGATTGAATCTTCTTGCATCTGGTAGGGCTTCGTTGGGTCTTAAAAGCTTAAAAAGACATTTGACCTACTTCCATTTTTTACTACTTTATTGCACTTTTCATCGAAAATGGTACTATTTCCCGTATGTTCGGCCCGAATTTGATAAAATCGATGAAACACTTTACATTTTGCTGCCGGACTCGTTTTCGAGGTAATCACTTTCCAAAAATGATTTTTCTTATTGTTTATAACTTATTGTTATTGCGAAATTTCTATTCTTTTATGTAACTCGGCAAGGAATTAACCGATTGCGATGGAGCCTTCCGCATTTCATGATAGATGAATTCGTGATGTTCCCATTTGCAACAATTTATGGACACTTTCATTGTTTATAAAACCATTGTTGGTGCAAAATTGCTATGTTCTGATGTAGCTCGACAAGGAATTTACCAAACGCAATCAATCCTTTCACATTTAGTTGCACATGCATTCCTGATAATCCCATTTGCAACTATACAGGGTGTCTCAAAAATGTTGGATGTCCTTGAATGGGATATTTCAGGGGGTGATTTGAAACAACGTTTTGATAGCGAAAATGTTGTTCGAGGTTTCGTTAAGGAGATATTTTTCAGAAACCCCCGACCAATCAGAGCGCGAGTATGCCGTGGAGCGCCTGCGATAGCGTAAGCTCACAAGCTTACAATTTAACTATATACGAAGATCAATAGACATCAAATTTTGCTTGTTAGTATTATTATTCTTCTAACAGATTGCAAGCATAACAAATAGTTATAATAATTGTAGAAGAATAACAATAAGCAAAATATTGTGTTGCATATAATGCCCATCAGGTTGAGACTTACGTGGGTTATGTGTAGAAGTACACTGTAATAGAGATCAGGTTGTGGACTTAGAAGGTTGGTACTGTAATGTACCAGAATTATAAATAAGTATATCTCCTTAAATCAGAGTTATAAAGGATTGAATATAGAGTTCATAGAGGTAATATTTATTTTTATACTATTTATTAAAATATTTTAGTTTATCAATTAATTATCACTAAAAATTTTTCTGGAAAGTCCAACGATTAATCTTCTCAAACAGTTTTATCAACGCATAATACAGCAAAAAATAAATAACGGAAACAATTCAGTGATTTGAATCTCTTGAGTCAAAAACTTTATACATACATTGCAAGAACTGATAAAATAATTTTTGAAAAAAAAAAAATATAACCGACTTAAGTTCTCTAAAGTAGATATGGTGATAGCAATAATTTAAGGGCATAAGTTTTGTCCCTCCGACAGAAAGTTAAATCAAATTTGGTAATTTTTTTTTTAAATAAGTGCTTTACGTCGCATCGACTGCAAGGTCATTAGCGACAAAAATGTTCTATATTTTCTGGAATAAGTTGGTGTCTCTCAAATATTGGATGGTGTTATGAACATGGTCCTCAGAAGTTAGGGCCGAGTCTGGTTTTAATTTGTATTTTCTTCTTTCGACATCGTATCTTCGGCATTCAAATAGTAGGTGATTTATTGTTGTTCTTTTGTTGCAGAGGTTGCATTGTGGAGGATCTGTTATCTTTAATAAGTATTGATGTGTTATTTTAGAGTGACCTGCTCTGAGTCTAGTCATGATTACTCTTTCTTTTTTGTTTAAGTTGTGAATGGGTATTGGTTGATAGAAATCTTGCACTATCTCGTGGATTTTGGTTCTTTGAGTGGAGGTCCACAGTTTGTTCCATTCTTCTCTTGCTATAGTTTGTGTCGAATTTAGGATGTCTTGATTAGGGATGGGTTTTCTAATTTCATTTGGAGGGATGGAGATTGCTTCTTTCGCTGAGACGTCGGCTTTTTCATTTCCGGCGATTCCTTGATGGGATGGGATCCAGATGAGGATTATGTATTTACCATTGTCGGATAGTTCTGAGCAGGTTTCTTGTATGGCTTTTATGTTTTCATGTTTGTGTTTAGTATGTGTGTTCTTCATAGCGGTAACTACACTCATTGAATCTGTGTAGATAACATGATATTGGTGGCTACTTGTGTAGGTGTAATGAAGAGCATCTAGGATGGCGTATGATTCAGCTGTAAATATTGATGTTGCTTTGGGGAGTCGTTTGGTGACTTCATTGTTGGTGACGAAGGCGAATCCTACTCTTTGGTCAGTTTTTGATGCATCGGTATATATTTTGTTGTAGAGTATGTATTGGTTGTTTAGTTCAAGAAATCTTGCCTTGTGTTTGATGTAACTTTTATGGTCTTTAGGGGTTTCTGCAAGTTCCGTGTTGACTTGCGGGGTTTTGAGAGTCCAAGGTGCTATTTTACCGTAATTGCGTTCAATAATTGGCGTTGTCTTTATTTCGGGGAAATTTGGATATTTTGTGATTCGGATGTAGAATGGTGTTATGGAGTTAGGTCTTTTTTCGTACAGATGGGAGTATCTGTCAGTGAATACGTTGTTGAAAGTCGGGTTATTTGGAGTGGAAGAAATTTTGATTACGTATTTAAGGCTTAGGAGCTTTCTTCTTTGTCGCAGGAAGGTTTCTTTTGTTTCGAACAATATGCTGTTAATTGGGCTTGTACGATAACTTTCAGTGGCTAATCTTAGAGCTATGTTATGGATGGTTTCAATTTGTTTCAATATAGAGGGTTTGGCTGAATTGTAAATTATTGATCCATAGTCTATTTTGAATCTAATTAGAGCTTGATATGTTTTTTGGATGGTTTCTTGATCTGCTCCCCAGTTGATATTGGATATAACTTTGATGATGTTTAGTCGTTGTCCGCATATTTTTTTTAGGTGATTCATGTGTGGTATCCATGAGAGATATAATTTGACTCTTATCAAAGATGAGACCAAGTAGTTTTATGTGTTGTACCAATTTTATTGTTGTGTTATTCAGGTAAATTTGTGATAGGTTATGATGTTGGTGGCGTTTTCTCGTGAATATGATATATTGTGTTTTGTGAGGAGAAAATTTGAGGCCTGATTCGTCCGACCATTTCTGGAGGCTATTTATGCTTGACTGTAGAAGTTCTGTAACAGTATTTATATTTTTCCCGCTGCAGGATATCGTAAGGTCATCTGCGAAAAGATTAACCTGTACAGGTGGTTTTATGTTTGTAGCAATGTTATTTATTCCTATTAAAAATAGTGTTACGCTGATTACAGATCCTTGTGATACTCCGTTGAATATTTCAGTCGGCTTAGAGAGTGTGCTGTTGACTCTGACTTGGATTGATCTATTTTTAAGAAAGTTCTTTATGAAGGCCAACATGTGTCCATTTATTTTTGCTTCGGTTAATGTTTCAATGATTTTGGGTCTCTGTATCGTATTGTATGCCTTTTCTATGTCTAAACAGACTAGTCCAAGGTGCTCGTTTTTTACGAATATGTCACATATGCTGGTTTCTATGTTGATGAGTACATCCGAAGTCGAACGGTACTGGCGGAAGCCGTATTGGTATGATGCCAGAATGTTGTTTGATTCTAGAAACCATCTTAGTCTTGCATTGACTATCTTTTCTATGATTTTACACATTGTGTTCGTTAGTGCTATGGGTCGGTAACTTCCTGTTTTATGTTTGTTTTTGTTTGGTTTCAATATAGGTATGACTATAGCATTTCTCGATTTGTCTGGAAAGACTTGGTGGGTCCATATTCCGTTAAATATTTTGAGGAGGTTGTTTTTTCCAATCGGAGGGAGTTGTTTTAGAAATTTATTTGGTATATTATTCAGGCCTGGAGAGGAGTTTTTTGTTGTTAGGAGTGTGTTATTTAGTTCTTCTATTGTTATTTTTGCATTTAATATATGGTCGTTGGTATCTTTTTTTGACTTTTTGCTATAATGGGACGTGTTTGTGATGTCTGGTGGTTTTTCCTTTTTCTCAGTTGGTGTATTGTAGTTGTTTTTGATTGAATTTTGTTGGAAAGTTTCTGAGAGTGTATTGGCTATGTCTTTCGAGTTGGTTACAGTTTTTCCATCGCCTAGATTAAGAAATTGAATTTCTGTAGTGAGTGCTTTTCCATCGATGCTTTTTATTTTCTTCCACACTTCAGTTGTTGACGTTTGATTTGTGATGCTTGATATGTATGTTTCCCATGATTGCTTTTTACTTTGTTTAATAGTTTTACGAAAGGCGGTACGACATTTTTTGAAATTAATTAGATTTTCTGTGGTGGGTTTCTTTTTAGCTGTGTTAAATGAGTGGTGGCTTTTGTTCAAAGCCTTCTGACAGTCTTCGTTCCACCATGGTATTGTTCGTCTTCTGTTAATTTTTGGTTTAATTTGTCCGGAGGCTTCTTCTGCTGCAGTGTTAATGATTGTTTCGAGTGAGTTTGTTAATTTGTTGATAGTATGCGTATTAATGTCGTATTCTAGGTCTTCGTGTGTAAGCTGTCTAGTGATTGATTCTTAGTATATGTGCCAGTCTTTTAAGGTTCCATTTGGGGTGTGGTATTTTAGCGTCAAAGAGATGTGATCTTCATATGTTATTTTTACGGGAAAATGATCGCTGTTGTGAAGGTTCTCTAGGACTTTCCATTCTATATTTGGGATTAGTCTATTGCTACATATTGATAGATCTATTGAGCTGAAGGTGCCTCTACTTACGGAAAAGTGTGTTGGATTTCCTGTGTTAAGTAGAATTAGGTTTGGGTCCTCTAAAAGTTTTTCTACTGTTTTTCCTCGAACGTCTGTTTTGTATGATCCCCAGAGGAGGTTATGGCTATTGAAGTCCCCTACTAACAGTAAGGGTGATGGTATTTGATTTATTAGGTCTTGTAAATCTGTCAATTTCAAAGCGTGACTATTTGGGATGTATATGTTGCAGATGTGTAATTTGCTCGGGAGTGCAGTAGAAATTGCTATTGCTTCTAAATTTGTCCTTAGTGGTATCTCGGTGGCTTTAAATTTATCTGAAGTAGTTATGAGTACTCCTCCGCTTGAGTAGTTTTCGTTAGTTCTGTTTTTTGTAAAGGTGGAGTAGCCTTTTAAAGTTGGATGGTGGGATTTCTTGAAGTTGGTTTCTTGTAGGCAAATAATGGTTGGGTTGTGTTGGTTTATGATAAGCTGTAGTTGTTCATAGTGCGTGTAATACCCATTTATGTTCCACTGAATTATCGGTTTCATAGTGTGTATCTGTTAATAGAGAGTTTGGTTTAGAATATGATTGATTAAAGTGTTTCGTTTTCAGTGTCGGATGACCAGTCAGTAGTGGTGATTTCAAGTGTTTTGGGGTGGAGTTTCTTGCATAGTCTATGTATTCTATTTTTGATGCTTCGTTCCTTGAGTGACGGATAAATTTTTTTTAGCATTTCTATCAAGGCTATGATGTTCTCCGTATATGTTTTGGCGATTTCGATTGGATTTGGTGAACCGAAGGCATTTTCTAAAAAACTTTTTAATTGAGCATAATTTAGTATGTAGTTATTGTTTGCATTGTCGATGTCTTTTCTGGCTGGTTCCAGCATTTCATCTATTCTTCTTGTTGTGGGGTTCGGTGATGAGAGTCTTTTGGGCTTTTTTTGGTTGGATCTGGGATAGTTGTTTTTTTAATAAACAAAATCCATGATGGTGGTTTGAAGTTTAGGTCGGTTAGTTTTACAAGGTGACTTGAAGTTTCATCTGATGATATCGATAAGGGTCTTTCCATACCGGATTTGTTAGTCTGTGGCTCCTCCATTTTAGTCTCTATGTTGTCTGTTTTGTCTTTTGGGAGGTCTAGGGTATTATTTGATGTGTGGGGATTCTGGTTTATATCTGTCTGAGTGATGATTTCAATATTGTTGGTATTATGTGGGCACTGTTTGGCAACGTGTCCTTCCTGTTGGCACCCGAAGCAGATCAGTTTGTCTGTGGTTGTAAATATTTTATATATGGTATCTTCGAGATTAATAGTAAACGAGCTTGGTATCTTTTTGGAATCATCCGGATTTATATACACTTGTCGCCGAAAACTTAGTATGTGGGAAAGGTCTGGTCTGTTAGCTCTGCTTTAAAATGTGATATTTTTGAGCAAAGTTTAATGTTATTGCTTTTGAATGCGTCTTCGATTATGGAATTGGGGATGACACAGTCACTAACATGCGGACAGTATTTCGGGTTTGGAACTCGCAAAATTGCCGTTGTATCTAAACACGTCTTACTGCTATGGTAACTGGGACGCAACTCAATGGTAATTTGTAATTTTGCGCCCACTACGAAAAGATTATTTAACATAATTTAATATAAAGGAAATAGAAATTTAATATATTATTGAATATCATTTAATGTAAATGAAATAGAAATTATTTCATACTTTTTAGTGCAATTTTAATATTTTTTCGAAGTCGGTTATATTTTTTTTCCAAAAATTATTTTATTTCACTCTTTTTAGTGGCAATCTATAACCAATAGGTTTCATGCAATAACAATAGTTATGAGCAATATACAGGATGACCCAAAAACGTTGGAGGATTTTGAAAGGGGTGGTTCCGGGGCGGGTGGGGTGGTGATTTGAAACAATTTTTCCTTAGCGAAAATGGTATTCGAGGCTTCGGTAAGGGGATATTATTACAGAAACCGAAACTCGCGCTCTGATTGGTCGGGGTTTTCTGAAAAATATCTCCTTAACGAAACCTCGAACAACATTTTCGCTATCAAAACGTTGTTTCAAATCACCCCCTGAAATATCCCATTCAAGGACATCCAACATTTTTGAGACACCCTGTATAGTTGCAAATGGGATTATCAGGAATGCATGTGCAACTAAATGTGAAAGGATTGATTGCGTTTGGTAAATTCCTTGTCGAGCTACATCAGAACATAGCAATTTTGCACCAACAATGGTTTTATAAACAATGAAAGTGTCCATAAATTGTTGCAAATGGGAACATCACGAATTCATCTATCATGAAATGCGGAAGGCTCCATCGCAATCGGTTAATTCCTTGCCGAGTTACATAAAAGAATAGAAATTTCGCAATAACAATAAGTTATAAACAATAAGAAAAATCATTTTTGGAAAGTGATTACCTCGAAAACGAGTCCGGCAGCAAAATGTAAAGTGTTTCATCGATTTTATCAAATTCGGGCCGAACATACGGGAAATAGTACCATTTTCGATGAAAAGTGCAATAAAGTAGTAAAAAATGGAAGTAGGTCAAATGTCTTTTTAAGCTTTTAAGACCCAACGAAGCCCTACCAGATGCAAGAAGATTCAATCCAATTGGTCAATTCGTTTCGGAATAAGAAGCAATACAAAATTTTTCGTTTTTTTTTTTGCAAAAAAAAACGGGTAAAAAATGAGAAATCCCAAAGTTGTTTGGTAACGGGACCACCCCGGAGACATTTTCTACAAGATGCAATAGGTTTCATCCCGATTGGTCAAGCCGTCTGGGCGTAATCATTAATATACATAAAAAGAGAAAAATATACATGTCGAATTGAGTTACCTCCTCCATTTCGAAGTCGGTTAAAAAAGATGCTTGAATTCTATTCCTTTAACTGATATTCCACATAAAAGCATGTGCACGTATCCGGCTCTAAAGGAGCGTTCTCTTTTTCAGCGGATTATGCATCAGTATCCACTGCACAGAATATCGTACTGTGCTGATGACAAAGGTGAGAAGAAGTTCTTCAGCTTTATCGCGAAAGAAGAAGACGCGGATAAGCACACGTGCTTCGTATTCGTTAGCGATAAATTGGCCGAGGAAATCACCCTGACCATTGGTCAAGCCTTCGATTTAGCGTACCAACGGTTTTTGGAGACCTCTGGAAAAGATCTGGAAACGCAGAGGCGACATATGATTTTACAACAAAAAATCAAGCGATTGGAACACGAGAATAACGTATATCGTCAGCGGCTGCAGGACATTGCTGCTATCAAAGGATCGGTTAGTTCAATGGATCCCAATTCAGTTAGTAGATGTAAAATGTAAAGCATGAAGTTCTCCACTTACGATGGGTAATTTTAATATCCAGACACTTTACAATTTTGTCTATGATAAAGGATACGGGATATAGACTGTTAGCATGAAAATGATAGTATTGAAATCATTCGTTGTCGCAACGTATTAGACGTTATGATAATAATTAGCTTCCTATAGAGTCGTGTACAATGTCTTTAGTGTGACTAACGATTGTATTAATTTAGTCCTTGGTTGATGAGATTATTGCAAGTCAATTTATCACTATTTATCTAAAGACGACTCAAACTATTGCCGATTAATTTTGTTTTAATAATTCGTTTAATCCTTTGGACTACAATTATTTTCATAGTTTGTTCTTGGTCAGCTCTGATTTAACTTTTATGGTTTTGATGTCTCATATTATGGATTTTCCAGGTTTCTTTCAATATACAAAGTATTAGGCCTAAACCAGGCCATCTGAATATCTGTTCCAATCGAAACATGTTTACATTTACAATTCGATTTTTCGAGTAAGATATTTCAATTTTTATGTTTAATATTATCCCAGATAGCATCGGACATCCCATGGACGTCCATTTTATGTCCAGTTTACGTCCAAACATCGACGTCCATTTCCGGACGTCCTTAGGACGTCCATGGGATGTAAATTCTGTACGTTCCATGGACGTCCGCCCGGAACGTCCTACGAACGTCCATGGGACCTAAATTTTGTACGTCCCAGGGATGTCCGCTCTGAACTTTCTAGATTTAGGGAAAAATACTTTTTTTTAAACAAAATAAATATTATTTATTAATATTATTTATATTAAATATTATTTAGAATATAATATTTATTCAATATGTAGAACAGAATATTTTTTCCGAATATAAAATACACTATTTACAATTGTAAATTAATATTAATTAATTAATTAATTAATTAATTAATTAATTAATATTATTATCCCAGATATCACCGGACGTCCCATAGACGTACAGAGAACGTACAGAGAACGTTCTGGGAATGTCCAGCACCGGACGTCCCATGGACGTACAGAAAACGTTCTGGAAATGTCCAGCACCGGACGTTCGATGGACGTATATAAGACGTTCCTGTTCCTGTGCTATCTGGGTATACAGTCATTACTTAATATTCGCAACAGAATATTTTTTTTCCGTAGATAAAACACATATTTATCTAATATTCGCAACAGAATATATGTTTATAATATATATATTATATTGTTATACATATCTGATCGTATTTTAATGTCAGTTACGTAATGCGATAGAGAAAAATATGCATTTATAAATGATAAAACATAGATGATCTTGAAAACTTCCAAGAAAAGAAATAGTAAGAAAAAAAAATGATTGCAGTCCCTCCATACCTTTCAAATTATATGTAAAATATTTTTTGTATCATCACAGTTGGAAGAGATATTTAGATGGGCTGATTTAGGCGTGACACTGTATATATGATTTCTCCATTTTTGTACACATTCTACATAAACATGCTTAGCAAAGCATTTTTTAAATAATACCGTGTCCTACTAATTTGTTTTATTAACTATATGAAGTGTAACATATGACTTAAAAGTTATAAAGAGAAACAGTTTTATCGCTCCAGAGATGACATAGTGAAAAGGGTTAATTTCCTATGCACTGTACATAGTATATTTAAATCTTAAGTAGCACTGTTTCATAAATGTTCCTGTTTTAGGCTGACGTATCAGCTTACTTATCGCAACATAATCTTCCGGATATCCTGCACGTGCCTGGTGCATCAAGCGAAACAACGCAGGTAAATGGAACCAGTAACAAGTTTTCTTCTGGCACGAACAGCGACAGTAATGGAAATACACCCAATGGGTCGCAACAACCCCCACCAGTTCCTCCAAGAAATTTTGAAAAAACATTCGATGACAACTTTATGACGTACGTAGAAAGATTCACTACCCTTTCTCAAAATATTCGATGGTTATTTGATAACGGATTAATTTTACGTGAACAGAAGCGAGCCTGCTCAAAAGCCGTCAGTTGGTACCAAGCTAGAGGGACTTCTAATGGACGAATTTGAAGAAGATTTCAATCCGAGAGCATTCGAAAGCGCGGTGAATGGCATCACGAATCATCAAACTAATCACAGTTCTCTTCTGAATGGTCAAATATCCTCTAATTCGAACTTCTTCTCACAAAGCAATGGCACTACAAGTCCTCCTCCATTGTGTTAGATTTTTCGCCAATATTTACGTACAATATACTCTGCGTATAAAAATTGGATTTTTGAGCTTTTAGTGTCTTAACACGTTTATCGCCACGTCACCTACATGTCAGTGACAAGGCTTTTTACTATGGAAGTAAATAACATAATTTTGAAGGTAACATGTTAAAGAAAATAAATATAGTTGGGACTTATGAATTTCGATAACGTTATAGAAATAAGTATTGTGGCAAACGTTAGATTACGTAGGTTTCAATTGTCTCAAAAGAAAATTTTTTTCTTATAGAAGTGTTCACGAATATTTATGTGGCAATCAATCATCCAGGTGCCACTCTTTATACAAAACAATCAATTGAATTGCTTTAAATTTACGATTACCGTATTTGAAGAAGTTACTTTCATTTCACAGCTCGTAACGTTAAGTACGTTCTGTATGAATTAAATTCTTTACTTAGCTCCAATATAAGCGAAGCTTAAATTTTGTTTCCAATACATTAAACACATTAGTTTAGCTACATTTTATGAAAATTTATACCTGAAGTCATATATTAATAACGTATATTTAACATACTTTAATGGAATTCTGAATTCAGTAGGGACTGCTCAAACTGTATAAACACCTTATTGTCTAATTCTAAATGCCAAAATATAATTATATCGATATGTACATTAACGTATACGTTCACTCCACAATATACAGTATATCTGTTATATTCTCTTCATTATAGATGGCGTTATAGAATTAGCATGAAAACTCTGAACAAATTACAAATGTTCGTATACTTCTGACACGGTACAAAAATCAAATTGGCTAAAGTAACGATAATTCTTTGCATATTAAAATGCAAATGGGTGTTCAGAGGTTTTTTGGCGTATTGAATATGACAGTATCATTGGTTTCATTGAAAAATTGTCTTAAGCTACTGAAACTTTCAAAATCCAAGTGTTTGTATACTTTTGATACGCAGTGTATGTAATATTATTTATATGGTTAAAGCAGGCAGTAACATATATTGATATTGTATTTCTAGTGGCTCCACCGCCAAAAGCGAAGGACTCCAGACGTCAAAATGGAGTGAAGGAGGATTTATTCGGCAGCATTCCTTTCAATCCTGCGCCATCCATGAATATGAAAAACGAATTTAACGATCCGTTCGGGATGGGTGAATTTGAAGCCACAACGACGATTTCTAATCCCAGCCAACAGGAGTTAGAAAATGCTATTGGTCTTTTAGATAAAAAACTGCTTGAAATGAAGGTACAGTTGACGTTTTAGTGCAAGTTCGAAACCTATTTAAAATAATTAATTAATAGAATGGTGATATTTCAGGACGGTTTTAGCAGAGGTCTTTCCATCGATACCGATGATTTCTCGTTAGAAAGCTTGGATCCTCTGCGGAATTAAATGAAATATTTTCTTTACAACAGATAGAGAAGAAAACAACCAATTATGCATTATCGCATGTTCCCTAGTGCATAAAAGTAGCATAAAAGTCCAGGAAAAAATAGGCAAATTAGGAACTACATTTATATGAAGCCAAAATTAGTCAATTATTATTTTAATTATGCTAATCTTATATTTATCGTGATGTCTGATAATTTATCATATGCCTACTAATAATCAATAATAACTTAAGCCTCGATGCCGAATGGTGCAGAGATCGCTTATTGTTGAAAAGCATTAGGAAACGAATAGTATTGATATTAGTATAATTCTTTCATCAATATTGTTTGTTTCTTTTTTTAAATAAGAAATTGAGTTATTTAAGGAGATCAAATGGCAAAATTTGTAATGAATTTTATAAGACAGGTTCCTAAATTAAGAATAATCAAGAAAGGGAACAATCTCTTTAGAAATCTTCATATTCTTCTTCTCGACTACTAGATTTATGAGTAAAGGAACCACCAGTTGCTGACCTACTATCAGCAGTTACAAATCTTATCGTATAGAGATATTACGAATATCCGACCACTGAAACTGTTATCAATTTTTTCACTTGCAGTGAACTATATAAGACTCTTCGCATGGCATACATATTTACATATCTGTTCCAAGAATAGGAAAATTATTATTGTTCAAAGCGATCTTTTTAATCGTAATAAAGCGGCTAATGCGTATTCTTTAACGAAGGATGTTTGAAGGCAACATTGACAATAATTGCCACTATTACTATAAGGTCCAATTAAGAGAAATTAATAATATATTTTTATGCAAATATAATGTAACTTAAGGTCATTACGTCTGTGCATTTTTCTGCAACACGAATTATTATAAGAAAAGGATTAGAACATTAACTAAAGTACCGATACAAATCATTACTAATGGATGAATATAATATATTCATCTGTTGATAAATATATTATGCTACTCGTATTATGAGTAACATCTGCAATCCTTTCATTGAATTCATGGGCTACTTTCCTTTGATCGGTCTTCTGCTTTCTATGGAAACGTACGAAAAATAGCATGAATGTTATGTAAGATTTTACTCGCAAGTTTTACAGGCATTTATGCGTGCAAGGGTTACACAATCTTGGAAATCATGCAACTTTATGTTTGATACGATAAGAGGAAGATTGTTAATTGTGTACATATAAAACGCTGTTTTATTATTGTTGCTCTATTGTTTAAGGATTATTGTTAAGAATATAATGCCTGAATATTGTAACTAACAAATTTGTTTTATTTCACATTATGTATCAGATCCAAGTGTCTCTTTCTTTTTGAAGGTCAGAACAAAAAGTTTCAGGACTTCAATAGCATTTTCTTTTTACTAAATTACTATACACTGTGACGGGGCAGAACTTTTCTGCCCGCCACGAAGGCACCCTGACCCCGGAGGGTCCTCGCACCCTCCTCGCCCGAACACGCCGCGGAGGTGGTCGCATGTATGGAAGAATCCGTGGCCCGCGGCCCACATTTTTGGGCCCCCTCGCGCTCGTGATCAGCGCCGCGTCCTCGCGAGAGCGCGGCAAGTCGCCAGTCGCAGTATCCTCCACCCAAGGATCCCGATGTGGCCACCATCAAGAGGACTTGCCACCCTCTACAGACGGTCAGCCCCTGCCCTCGCCCCGCAGGTGCCACGGGAGACAGAAGTGTGACGTGGGACACAGATTCCTGCGTCACAGCTTAAATAATTTTTAAATAAAAAAAAAATATATATATATATTTTACTTGTCTATGTCGATGTCCCGTACGGGCCCTGGCTCGTATGTGAATTTCTCTTTCGTATTTAATAGGATGGACGGTTAGGATGCGAGCGGATTCAACGGTGAATTTAAATTAAATATTGAAAGCTATTTCACTATTGAAATATCATTGTCTGATGTGTATTTTAATAACCAATGAATAGACCTTGAAATTTACATATTTATAATAGATCACACTCTTTCATTCTTTCACTTAATTCATATAAAATTGAACATAAATTGTATAGAAGAAAACAATGAAAATATATATATTTATTCGCTTCTGGGATATTAACTAGGGTTACCCCGGAATGAATTATATCATTTATTAATATCCCAGATTTGAACAACAGTGATTTCATATGATAAAGAAATACAATAAAAATTGTCGGAATAATATTATATGAAAGATCAATGGAAATACCACCCGAGAACATCAATTAGGGATTCCCCGGAATTGAAATATCATTTATTAATGTTCCGAATGGTCACAATGATGTGAAAGTACATATAATAATATTGTATTGGAGTAAACACTCACCACCAAGATTTACTGTAAAATTTATCGATGTATCGACACGCACGGATGTTGGTCGTCGGATGTCCTGGACAGTGGAGAAGCACACACAGACACGTGAAAAATTATGAATTACGGAATATCGGATAATCAACACTTGAGAAAAATTAAAACAATTGATTTAAAATTAAAATATTTTAAATGAATTCAATAATTAGAAAAATTTAAGAACACAGTTAGATTGTTTTTACGAGGAACTAGTCCTTGCCTACCACTCACTTTTAATAATATAAACGAGTTAACGCGGTACACAATTCTGCTTAAATATAGTTCGCTCGGACTATTCACGCGCTCGACGCGACTGTACGATGAAAAAGCGATTTTGACTTCGCTGCTTTGAGCGCAACTCGGTGCGATGTTTACAAAGTGCTTGCGCTGCACTCTCGGAGGTGCCGAATCAGAGTGCAGCCGTAACGACAGTGGATTTGAATCCAATTCAAGAGCTTTAATTTCATGGGTTATCATGCGGTCGGCCAACGGGAGCGAAAGAGAAAGAAGATTGAAGCGCTGTGCTAAGTTTCGCGACGCGCTGTACTGTGGTGTGAGGTGTTACGCGAACTGCTTATATCAAAAACGTGTTTTCTGGTGATGCGTAACGGAAGTTCATTCATATCACTTAATAATAATTGATACATAACATTCTCACGGCGCAGCGCGTACATATTATTATTTTACAATCCAGTAAACATAACAACATACTAAACATGTTACATTTTACAAGATTTTTCCACGGTACAGCGCTGCCAGCAGGGTGGAAGCGGCGTGACGACGTTGATTTCAAGGAGGGAATGTGTATTTTGTTCAAAAATGAATTTAATAAACTACCGTCAAAGGCTAGGTTTGTGTTCGATTAGAACGAATTCGGGACGGTAACCCATCTCGAACACATTCCTGCCGACGAAATCAAGAAAAATAACGAAAATGTCTGCGCGTAACAGAAGTAAGGAGAACGACACCGACGTCTGGAGATGCCATGGTGGTGGCACACCGTAAGGAGCCCCTTAAAGCTCCTGGGTGGGGAGAGCCACGAGCCGGCGACGAGAAGAGCGCGATTTCGAAAAGCGGGCAATTAACGGTTGAAACGCGAATCGCGACGAACACGTGCGAGCGAGCTCCCTGATTGAGTTGCAGAGATTCGGGGTTTTGATTTCGAGCGTGTGTGGTGGAACTGTATCCCATTTTGGAAGGATACACTCAGGGCATCCAGCCAAGGATTTTGGAGACCCGAGGTCCACTCCAACCAGGTAGGGCCCACGCGTTGGGGTTTTCTTTTCTGGAGTGTGTGTGTGCGAGCGCGGGTCGAGTGCGCGTGTCCGTGAGTGTGCTCCGGAGCACTTTTCGTCCGCGACAGGACCACTCCCGGAAGCGAAAACCCTTGGAGTTCCCTCCGTTCGTTTCGCGTATCTCCCGCGTAGCCTTGCGCGGTTTGAGAACGCGCCGCGTTTCGAAGGAAAGATTCCCTTCGAAACGCGAGACCGTTGATTCACGGCGTACCTTTTCTTTTTTTGGTTGTATTTTTTTCTAGGGCGGACTCTCTGCTTGCGAGGCCCCGTAGGATTAAGTAACACCGAGTTTTCTGAATTGTATTGGGAATTCCGCGTCGCGTTTCCCTTCAGCGCATAGTCGCTACACCCTTTTCCAATCCGGTGTGAGTGTATCGTGGAATTCCCCCCCCCCCCTTTGTTGGGTTTTCGGCTAAATAAAGTCTCAATTACTTTCGTGGATCAGAGTTTCCCTTATTTTCTTTGTCTTCTTGACCTCCTCTGAGCCCGCTCTCCGTTTGAGCAGTCGGAAGGGCGAAGATAACGGACGCGTGCTTTTGCACTGGCGCCCAGATTCCTTTAGGAATAAATAAATCTCGTCCGTCGGATTTGTGCCACCGAGCGTGTCGAATAGCGGCTTTCCCGGCCACCCACGTGGGGCCCCTTTTTAAAACTCTGATCGAGGGACACGATCGTTATATTTCGAACGACGAATTCTCGTTAGTTTAGGCTTCGTCGCTTCAAGGACAGTCGATTTGAACCGTTATTGCTCCTTGACAACAGACAAAGTTACAGGTGTCGTTTAGATATTCTGCAGTGACAGGTAGGAAGACGCGACGACCCGCTTTGTTTTGTCGTACCGCTCACCTTACTGTCTGTTTATTTCGAACGCTAGCAAGGTTCTGAACGACAATTTCTTCGTCGCGGATAAATTCCTTCGCGTTCCAGAAACATTCACTCCAGAAATTGCGACACTATCCATGTCGCATACATCCGACCAAGAATCGGAAAGAGCGCGTCGTGACGAGGTGCGCGAATTAAAGAAGGTCGTGAGTAGGGAGGTGCGAAGTTTCTTCCAACGACACAAGTCCCGCGACCTTATGGTAATTTTTGACGTTTTGGAGATTAATACGGACTGCGCCTGGGATGAAGTGCCCGACCGATTTGTCCGGCATTATCTTAGGCAGAAACTTGGGCCCCACGCGGCGGCATGGGACTCGAAAAAGGACGAAGTGTCCGAACCCCACGCGTCCATTCTAACTTTATTACGAGAGACTCCTCAATATACGAGCCTCATTGAAGAATATGAAGCTCTATTGGGTCGAAGGCTCCCTAAGGATCAGCCCCCCGTTCCGCCTGTGGAAACCGTCGCGGGAGTAACAGTGGTGGTGACCCCGACCACGACCGTGTCCACGTTTACGTACACGGTCGCGGAGTCACCACACGACAGGGTAGAGTTACCACGAGTCTCGTTTAGGACCCCTCAAACTGACTGCTCGCGACTACTGGCGGAAGCGGCAGCGTGGCTACCCACCGGTCAATCGACAGGCCGGTGGAGGGATCCCATGAGCTTTCCGAACACCCCAATAATATCCGACCGTCAATTGGGAGCGATTCCGCGAACGCAGGTGACCGCCGTTGAATCGCGCCGCGAAACCCCAGTACCGGAAAATTTCGGAGCGAGAGCGAGTAGAGACGCGCCCTTCTGGAATCTTGCTCCTCTCGCGGAGGATCGGTTATCCGCTCCCCTCCCGCCGTTGCTAGTAACTCCGCCGAAGAGGCTCGAGAATAGTTCGTTATCGGGCGATGGAACGCGACCAGCGGGGATAGGGATAGCGCAGAGTGGGGTCCTGCGACCGCGAAGGGACGAACCGCTTCCCCCACTCTCGCGAGAACTGACGTCTCCCGTCGACGGTGTTCACAGCTGTACGACGTAAGATGACGTCAGCGAGAGCGCTTTGTATGAGAGCGTAAGTCGTGCCGCTACGCATCAACCAACGCGAGATCGTGTAAGCGCGTACGAACTTTACACTCGACCTCCCCTGCCGCGCCCACCTTATCGTGGTGAGGAACTTACCCCTCGCCCCGAGGTCTCCTACCACCCATCATTTGATAAGGGAAGAAGTAGGCGGCAGGAGGAAGAAAGGTCGTCGCAACAGCCCCGGTTGTCCCTAGCACCGGGCCGCGAAAGCCATCAGCAATTCGAAAGGGCCCGAGAGCCCCGTGTACAATTTATTTTGGAGCCTCGTCCCCTTCAGGACGAGCTCCCCTCCCCACACTCCTCCCAAAGGGAGGCAAATATTCCCCAATGGGTGGCTGAACGGTACGGGAACACTTGTCCCCCGTCCCGAAGCCAACCCCCCGCGGAAAGGTCGGCCGAGAGGAACCGTGGCCAAGGTCGCGAGTTCCTCGGCCACCCTCCAGCAGCCATGTTGGGGGAACGGTACGGGGACGCTTGTCACCCGTCCCGAACCCAACCTCCCGCGGAAAGGGCGGCCGAATGGAACCGTGGTCAAGGTCACGAGTTCCTCGGCCTCCCTTTTGTAGAAAGGTCGGCCGAGGGGAACCGTGGCGAAGGTCACGAGCTTCCCAGCCACCTTCCGGTGGTCAGGGGGGCAAATCGGCATGGTGACCTGGGATACTGGGACC